TGTGTGTGTGTGTGTGTTTGTTTGAGTCATCACCCACCCGGATCTTCTCCAGCTCTCCTCTGTTGGCCGTCTGCTGTTTCTCCAGCCGCTCGCTGAGCTGAGAGCAGATCTGAGACACAAACACACAGAGGTCAAGGGTCAGTAGTGCTCTGGCTCACACCAAGGAAATACTGTTCCACAAGAGGAAGAATGAGGCTTACAGTAAAAGCTCGACCATCATAAGCTGAACACACAATCTTTCAATCAATCTCTCCTGCCACAGGAGATCACATCACATATTTTTATTCTTGCTGGTTGACAAGCATTAACAGAAAGAATGTATCTACATTGAGAATGTCTGAGCTACTCACGAATATAAATGAATGGGACGTATTTTCATTAAAAAGAGACTTTTACTTGAAGACAAGACACATTTTGCGCTGTACAGCAATGCCAGATGTGAATAATGCATGTATTCGTGCAGTGCAGTGACTGAAAAGACTTTTGAAACGAACTCCGCTTGAGAACATTTTATAGAAATACTCTTTTATCCCTTTTTACGTTCCAGCTTTGCGTTTTCTCAGCCTAGTCGTCAGACATCCTCCTCACACTAATGAGTGAGCGTGTGTTCATTTCACACCGGGAAGCGGTCCAGCATGATACCTGCAGGCCTTTGACGCTCATTGTGTGTTGTCTGGCTCATGCAAGCAATAAGAGCGCGAGTGTGTGTGCGAGAGAGAGCTGGTTCAGCTCAGAGGACACCATTATCATGCTCCACCATGAATCATGCTGTCAGCGGCCCCATTAAAATGAGCTCTGCAGGGACAGCAGCTCAACTATTTTTACAGAGAAGCTCTCATACTGCACTGAAGGTGCCACTTTCAGGCCAGCCTCTCCTCTACAATCAGACATCAGATCAGCCCTTATCCATACATGAGCATGTTAAACCGCTCCAGTCTGGACATGCATGTTTACAGGAGCCTTTTGGTCTATTTACTGTACTCCATTAACAGCTATTTGGGTTTTTGCTTTAAAAAAAAAAAAAAA